GAAACAGTTCAGAGAGTACAAAGAATTGGGAATCTGGGTGTCCATGTTTACCTGCGCACAGTTGCTACGATTCTTCGAGAAGGACGTCGAGTCTCTGCGTGAGGAATGGCGAAGCCTGGCACAATAAGGTAGTATCCATCTCTTCATCTGAGATGCCGAATTGTTGCTGTTCCAACAAATTTTGTGGTACGTCCAAAAGCGACATTTATAATGCAACAACCTAATACTTATTTATTCGGTTACAACACAACACAACGGAATTCCCTTCCCCGGCGAGCCCTACAGATGGAATTTTTGCCACAATTAGTATCTCGAGCTTATGAGCTCTTAGCTTACAGCATACGAGATATTTTTCATTTACTTATTTACGTATTATCTGTTTATTCATTATATCTCGTAACAATATATTTTACAGACTTCCAAAGTAATTGCCTGTAACCCCAAAATCATTTGTCCAACGATCAGCCATTTGCTCACTTTCCCACCATTACTATTCTGACCCCTTTCAAGGAAAACCTGGAACACTTGCTCGACCTCATTGACGTTGTTGAGTTAATGACCAGACAAGGGGAGAACTATTTTCGCAGAGAAATGGACCGGAACAAATGGTATTCATTAAGGACCAAATCCGAAGTCAGCGCCAATGTGGAAGTACATATTTCAGAAATGAGTAATAAACGACGGGTTTTCTTTGAGAAGTGGATTGCTATTCATTTTTATGGAATAATTATGCCCTCATTTTCGATTTCGGAGGATCATAAAGAACACATCTCTGCAAGTGGTTAAATTTTGGGAAGAAGGGGCCGAAACGTTGGACAAAATATCACGAATGTTTTTTGATGCCCTTGTTCTTAATTGATGGCACGTTTCTCTTCAAAGACACAGGTCGTGAATAAATCCTTGCAAAGCTCTGAGTCCTTGAATGAGGTAGCAGGACCACCAACTGCGGTCGTGGTGGTGCTGTAGCGACTTAATATAGTGCGGGGCACCCGACAGGAGGCTCGTCGCGCTGCAACGAAGGCCGAGTCAGCGACGATTCGCAGCGCATACTGTAGTGATTTCGCGTCAAGTTGAATAGAATGTACCATTGTACGTCCTACATCGCACATCACGCGCTGCGACTCGTCCGCTGACTCTGCCTTCTTGCCGCGCGACGGCTTCCGTATGACGTTCTCTCTCGCGTTTTCCCTCTCCTCGCAGTACTGTTCCTCTCCGTAGTGATACGGTTGACCTCACAAGGGAATTTTTCGTCTGTTCTTTGGTGATCCTTGCTTCTTTTACAAACGTTCGTCTTCGCACTTGCTGTCTCATTTTCGAGCGAAATAACACCAAATCAATCGCGAGCCCGGCTTTTCAAAAGCACAGGTCGCAATCAAATCCGTAGCTAAATTCTCTCCACGCGCGAGATCGCACGGTTCCCAAATACAGAGAAGTAGCACTGTTACGGCTCGAAAATGTGTGATGAGAGTGCTAAGGCAGGCTTTGCTTTGACCGCTGCGACTGCTGCCATTTTTGTTCACTCGCAGCATACGCGGTCGTGCACCCTGTCGCGCAACGTGTTCTCTCGCGTACTAACTCTCTCACCTCGCCTGAGTCTCTCCGTAGTGGCACAGTCGACGTCACAAAAATAGAGGTGTTAATTTCCAGAGTTTTCCATGGTTCCTTCTGTTTCTTTTGACCCATTAGTGGCCCCCTTCCACCATGTCTTCTGTTTTCGAGCACTGTAACACACCAATTCGGTCGCGACCAGTGCCTTTAGGCCCTCATTTGAGCCACGTCCTGGAACTCCAACATCATTATATTCCTGTGTGGAAATGGGGATGAGGGCTAGCGAAAATGAGGGAAATCTGTGAACGACAGACCCAGAAACGGATTGTTCTCATACATACGACTACAGATGGGTTTATACCGTATCCCGCCGTGGAATGCCCTGCTTTCCGTGAAGCTGATGATGAGATACTGTACGTTGACGCCACTTTTAACAATGAGCGAACTATCGCGGTGAACTTCAGCTTCCATTTAACAAGTGGAATTCTAGTAATTCGAGTTGCGCCTAACGAGGTGCTTGGCGGGCATAACGACATACCTCCTCACTTTCTTCATACTGGTCTTAAGTGTTTTTGCTGGGATGGTAATGGCTTTTGGACCGACCACTATGTAGTTGCGACCAGGCCGGAGCCAGCAGTTCCGCATTCCTGAGTGAACGGTCAGAACCTAAGCAGAATGGATCATCTCTAACCGGTCCACTGAATAAGTTGGCCTCCATTTGTGTGGCATTCCGAAAGAAAAAATCTATTGCCTGTTTTTCAACATCATTGCAGGTGGCCACTTACATACGGTCACGCGTCAGCTGTCTCCATTCCTGACCTAGGGCGTGTCCCATACAGAACCAAGGGGTCGCTGAGAGGACCTCAACGGGGAGAATCGTACTTGACCTACTTCAAGGGTTGTTACTGGACGGGTCAATGATGAGGAAATGGTTTGAAAGTAATCCTTTCTTCTACACTCTTTTTGGCGTAAACGAAGGTTAACAATCGGTAGTTTCACGTTTTCTGTCTTCTACACATTGATGAGTACTTTTCACTACAGTACTTCCAGAGGGTTATGACACTGAAAAAACTTGACAAATGAATACTTCTCCCAGCTATCACTAATGCGAAAAGAGTGATAGGGCTATTCAGTTGAATTGCTTACGTGGCCGCATCGCGGCGCCAGGCTGCTTTCATACTTTGCGCGGTGCGGTTGGTGCGGTCCGTGCG